ATTACACATATCAAAAGACATTCTCTCCAAATTCCAGATTACATTTACAAATAATCCTAACTGACTAAACTGGATCAAAGGATAATGACAAAATAATGGATTTAATAAGAAGCATTAAGAAAAGCAACGAAGATTCAAGGAGTTTATGGTTCTGTAGGAAAGACAGACATAAACAAATAAGTGCAATAAACTGTTATTAGAGATGATAAAAAGATGTAGACATGATATACTAGACTCAAAAATAGAAAGACTTGAACTTTCTTAATAGAAGTGTTCACTACCCTGGCTGGTTTGGTTCAGCGGTTAGAGTGTCAGTCTGTCCCTGGCCCTGGTCAGCTCGTGCAGGAGGCAACCAGTCAATGTGTCTCTCTCACACTGGTGTCTCTCTCTCTCTCTCTCTCTCTCTTTCTCTCTCTCTCTCTCTCTCTCTCCCTCCCTCCCTCCCTCCCACCCTCCCATTTTATCTGATGATAAACAAAAATATCCTCGGGTGAGGATTAAAAAAAAAAAAGAAGTCTTCAAGAAAAAGGTAACTTCTAAGCTGACTATTGAAAGTTTTTATAGCAGCCCAGCCAGTGTGGCTCAGCGGTTGAGCGTCAATCCATGCTCTGAGAGGTTGCAGGTTCAACTCCTGGTCAGGGCACATGCCCAGGTTGTGGGCCCGATTCCCACTGCGGGGCATGCAGGAGGCTGCCAATCAATGTTCTCTCTCATCGATGTTTCTATCTCTCTCTCCCTTCCCCTTACTCTCTCTCTGTAATATCAATCAAAGAAAAAAAAGAAAGTTATGGCAACAAATGTTTTTTGGGTAAAAGTTTTTTTTAAAAGCCACTATGCTACATGCTAAGGACATAGTAAATGAAACAACCATGATCTCTGCCCTCATCAAGTTTGAGTTATTGAAAGAGAGACAAGTGAACAAGTAATATCAAGAAAGCGAGATAAACCCTGGCAGGTGTGAATTAGTGGTTCGAGCGTCAGCCCCTAGACCAAAGAGTCCTGGGTTCAATTACTGGTCAAGGGCACATACCTCGGTTTCAGGTTCAATCCCTGACCCCAGTAGGGGTCACTCAGGAGGCAACCAAACTGATGTCTCTCTCTCACATCGATGTCTCTCTCTCTCTCCCTTCACTCCCTCCCAATCCATCTAAAACAAAAATCAATGAAAAAATATCCTCAGGTGAGGATTAAAAAGAAAGTGAGATAATACTCTAAAACAAGAAGCATGGAACAATGCGATGGAACACTCAGCATGAGTACCTCAGGACATCTAGGGTAGTCAGGGAGGGTAAAGGGCTCATTAGAGTGCAGAGAATAGAGGGAAGAAATGTTCCAAACGGAAGTCCTACAGATGAAAGAAAGCACAACTTGCTCAGGAACTGATACTTTAATATGACTAGAATAAAGTTTGTTTTGTTTTGTTTGTTTTTAATCCTCACCCGGACATTTTTCAATATTTTGTTCAGATAGAGTGTGGGGGGGGGGGGATAGAAACATGACATGAAGGGGACAATAGAGTGGTTGCCACCCACACGACCCAACCAGGGCTGGGGACAAACTGCAACTGAAGTACGTGCCCTTAGCGGAAACTGAACCCAGGTCTCTGGACCGCAGGCCGATGTTTTAACCCACTGAGCAAAACTGGCCAGGGCTAGAACGCAGTCTGATAGGAGAGGGGCTAGCAATGAAGTTGCAGATTGGAGCCAGTTCCACAGCAGGCTGACCTTTAAATAACATTTAAGAGTTTGGGTTTATCCTAACAGCTATAGTGAATCACTGAAGGGATTTTAGCAGGGAAGGGACATGGTTACATTTATGTCAAGGCAAGATCACTCTAGCCACCTTGGGGAATATAAATTAGAAAAAGATGAAAGAAACCAGAGAAACCTAGGGCAAGGCATGCTGCTGGCCTGAGCGGGGATCTAAGCAGGTACATGAAAAGAGTATAGCCCTGGCTGGGTGGCTCAGTTGGTTGGAGCATCATCCTGTACACCAAAAAGGTTATGGGTTCGAGTCCCAGTCAGGGCACATACCCAAGTTGTGGGTTCAATCCCCAGTCAGGGTGTGCATAGGAGGCAACCAATTAATTTTTCTCTCTCTCACTCTTTTCCTTCCTCACTTTCTAAAACTCAATAAAAACATATCCTCGGGCCCTGGCCGGTTTGGCTCAGCGGTTAGAGCGCCCGCCTGCGGTCCAGAGAGACCCGGGTTCGGTTCCCGCTAAGGGCATGTACCTTGGTTGCAGTTTGTCCCCGGCTCTGGTTGGTCGTGCGGGTGGCAGCCACTCGATGTGTCCCTTTCACATCGATGTTTCTCTCTCTCTCTCTTCCTCTCTCTCCCTCCCACTCTGTCTGTACAAAAAATGGAAAAATGTCCTCGGGTGAGGATAAAAAAAAAAAAAACAAAAAATAACATATCCTCAGATGAGGATTTTTTTTAAAAAAAGAACATATTCATGAGATCTGTACCAGATAGTATCACATTATGGAACTTAGTATGGAACACGAAGGCATGGGAGAAATCATGTATAACTCCCAAACTTCTTGCTTAGGCTTCTAGATGGACAGCAGTACCACTCACTCAGATGGGAAATGTTAGAAAAGAATAGGTTGTTTTGTTTTCTTAAATATGTTTTTATTGATTTTTTAGAGAGAAAGGAAGGGAGAGAGAGACAGAAACATCGATAGGCTGCCTCCTGCACGTCCTCCCCTGGGGATCAAGCCCACAACCTGGGCATGTGCCCAGACCAGGAATCAAACCAGGACCTCTCAGTCCAAGGGACAATGCTCGATCCACTGAGCCACATGGGCCAGGAGGCCTTGTGATGTTTATTTTTGAGTTTTTCTGGTCTTCGAACTCTCCCCTACTTTTGTTTGCTTCTTATTTACATTTAAACATGCCTCTCTGTGGACATCTATGTGCCATTCACACATGCTCAGATGCATTTGCACTCACAGACACAGGCTATGTACACATAAGTAAACCTTTTCTTGACCCCACATCCTCCTTTAGTTATTAATTTCCCTCTCACCTTTTCACCAATTCCTACTATACTCCTCACTCAGTCCTTGGCTTCTGGTGCCATCAAATTGCTCTTGACAAAACACGAATGGATTTATTACTTAGTCCAGTGGACTATTTTCTTCACTGCTTTATTTGGTAGCAGCCAGCACTGCTGACTTTCTTGCCTCTGAAACTCTTCCCCTAGCTTCTCTGATTCCATACACTACTGGTTTCTGTCTACCCTTTGGGCTGACTTCTCTATTTTCTATGCAGGTTTCCCTCAAATTGTTAGTATTACTCTATATTCTGTCTCAGGATTCTATTCCAGACCCATATTGTCTTTTCACAGAATATTCTCTTCACTCCTACCTCAGTTATTTAAGCACTTATAAATATTTGCAACCTAATTGTTTCTCCTTGTCTCTAAACTTTACATCTGAATGCCTACCAGCATATCTACTTGGAGGTCTTGCAGGTCCTCATTTCAGTAAATGTATAATTTAACCTTTCCCCTTCCCCTCCTCCTTCTCCCACCTCAAAACAAGCAAAACAAAACCTATTCTTGCCGGCCAGCCCAGCCATTGTGGCTCAGTACATTGAATGTCATCCCACATTGATGTTTCTATCTGTCTCTCCCTTCCTCTCTCTCTAAAAAAAACCAATAAAAACATATTTTAAAAAGAATAAAATAAAACAAAAATCGCAAGGCCAAGGTCCTAAGAAGGCAAGATATGATACAATACTAAGCAGAGGTGAAAGGCTCCATCTTAGGAAAAATAGCATTTCCACAGTGATAGAAGAGAAGATCAAGAGAATGGGTGTAATGGGGTAAAAACACTTTTAAAATCTGGGGCATCAGATTGAGGAAATTTCATCTGATGGTTTACCTTTATGATATTTAGGAGACAAGGTCATTTACAGGCAGAGGAAGACAGTGTACTGGCAGAGATTTGAGACAAGTGGGAAATGAAACTGCCACTGAAGACACCAGGAGAGTGTAACCAACTAGGGAAGTAATGGGAATGTCAGCAGACTGAGGTTCCTGTTGAGATTTATGACCAAGAATTTATACTGGCATTAACCTGCAGGGTGTGTGTTTTTCTCCTGGTGTAGTCAATAGCCTGGATATAGCATAAAGAAGGCAGGACCAGAGTTTTGCCATACAAGTATGACAGCAAGGCAAGGAACTCAACACGTGTGAGACAGTAGTTAAAATGACAAACTATAGAATCTAAGCTGAGCTGGAAAGCAGTCAAGACAGGAAAGGGAAGACAGCAAAAACGAAGAGGGTTCTATGGGCTAGAAAACCTGATAAAGTTAAAATGCTTGTTTACTAGAAATAACTGAGTAAGAGAGGAAAGGAGGTATGGTTAGAGAATAAAATGTCTAGTTTGTGATTTTAGAAGTAGAGCAATTCTTGTTGATTGCAAAGTAAAACGGCCGTGGGAAAGGATAACTGAAATTAAGGGAAGAGGTTACTAGAAATGCAGGAAAGTTGTCGGATGCACAAGAAGGGAGAACAAGGCAGGCAGAAGGTATGAAATAACATGGTATTCAGAGAACTGCAAGTAATTTGACATTTCTAACATGTAAGTTAAGAGTGACTGAAAGGAGGATGGAGAGAAAAGAAAGAGCCAGATCATGTAAGTCCTGGTCTTTATCTGAAATACAATTTGCTCAGAATGAGAGCTGCTTTCTCACAGGTTGAAGGGCGTGAAGGCTGTCAGATTTAAATAGCTGAAGGACTGCCAAGATTTTTTAAAAAATTAGTCAAGTTCTAGGGAACAGGGAGGATGGAAGATACAGTGAAACAAATTTCAAAATAAAAGAGAATGTTCCAATGACTAATGATTAATGATAACTCTTTACTACTAGAAGCATTTAAGCAAAACTCAACGCCGATCTGCCTGCAACATTATACAAAGAATCAAATAGGGGACTGTTAAGTCGCTTCCAACCCCATGGAGATAATAAGAGACAGAGAAGACATCACTTACCAATTCTACACCTATTACTCCTGCACCAATGACCACCATCTTCTCTGGAACTTTTTTTAAAGATAAAGCACCTGTAGATGATACCACTGTATCTTCATCAATCTATTTTTAAAAAGATACAATCAAAATTATTTGGAAAAACCTACTGATTTATAATCTGTGATCTCATTCAGTATAATCAATAAAAATATTGTCATTTATTTGTTTAGGTATCCATGACTTCTATCCATATACTCAATAAAAATTAAAATATTTAAAATTTTATCATTCAGCATATCAAAACAGCATGGTCAACTTTAACTTCATGCTGAATTCAAATATATCTTAATGTAAAGTGTTCTATTTCTGGTCAAAATCACTGCAGAATAAAGAGAAGCAACTTCCCAAAGTTGACATACAGTCAACTTGTATGACAACTTGACAACTGTATGTCAACATATAGTATTTCAGTAAGAAATCTCTCAAAGTTCATAAATAGCACGAATAAAGTAGTTTATAAAATACACTTTTGAAGAAAGGTTTTGACAATTGTAAAAAGTATAAATACCGTGATTCCAGGAAAAGGAGTAACTTCTGAACCTGTAGCTATAAGAATGTTCTTTGTATCAATAATTTGAGTGCTGCCATCGGCTTTCGTAGCAGTGACTTGGTTTTTGCCAGTTATCTTTCCATATCCATTTACATGAACAACCTTTAAAAATATATATATAAATTCACAAAGTTTAAGATAAATTTTTTGATAAACAAACATGATTAACAGCAAGAAATTACTCTATTAAATAATTACCCAATACAAAATGCTTCCTTACTTAGTAATGCTATACATGGAGCAGCAAAAAATTCGCTATATATTTCAGGTTAGCATACTGTTTTAAATTAAATAACTATCTGCCAGCAGCCAAGTTCTAACAGCATCACGCTAACAGCATAAAGCAACATTTAATGTGTATATAAAATAAAGCAAAAATGTGAACACTGAACACACTGACCTTATTCTGTTTGAATAGGTGTGCAATTCCACCTGTTAAAGCTTTCACTGCAGTACTCTTCTGCTCCATCATCTTCTCTAAATTCAAGCGAACTTCAGACACTGTAATTTGTTAAATAAATCTTTAGTACTTAGCTAAATTCTTCAAGCAGTGTATAATATTTTTCACTAATCAAGGTCTGGAAATTTTCAGCCTAATGCTTATAGAACTATATAAGTCAGTATTACCATTTTTAAATCTGATAACTGATATAATAATCCTAGCTGGCAAAAGGCCAACAGCATCATACCACAATAACATAACCTATCAAACACTATAAAAAAAATCCACATTTGTACTGGCCGGTCTGGCTCAGCGGTTAGAGCATCGGCCTGAGGTCCAGAGAGACTGGGTCGGTTCCTGCTAAGGGCACATACCGCGGTTGCAGTTTGTCTCCAGCCCTGGTAGGGTCGTGCTAGAGGCAGCCACTCGATGCGTCCCTTTCACATTGATGTTTCTTTCTTTCTCTCTCTCTCTTCCTCTCTATCCCTCCCACTCTATCAGAAAAAAAAAATGGAAAAATGTCCTCGGGTGATAAAAAAAAAAAAAAAAAAATCCACCTTTGGGGAAAATGCAGTCCAAAATAAAATATTTCCCACTGTGACAACATAGTCTCCAAACACCTTATGATGATCATAAGTCTGGACAAGATTTAAGCAGAAATGGCAAAGCAAAACATCACCTAAAACTTTAAATAAAAGGAAATGCTAAATTTCATGAAACAAAAACTAATAAAAATACACACGAGAAAACTTCAAATACAGAAGATGAATATAAGAGTTTAATCACTCCTTTAACTCAGAAGAGAACGTTTAAGCAACAATATAAGAGGATAAAGAAGCTCAACTCAAAGAACTTTAGAAGGGTACCTTAGAAATCAGCTCATGCAATCAATACCTATTACAGATGAGAAAGCAAAGACCCTGAGAGATTTGATTTACCTAAGGTCACAGAGCTAGAACATGGATCTTTGCCTACAATGCATGTCTCTTGACTAACCCTATCTCTTCTTTCCTTAGAGGGTAAGGAAAATGGGTTTTGATTTCACTCTTCATCTAGTTTAATACAGTATTTGCTTTAGTGTATATACATCACCTCTATACCCAAGGGACTGCCTACATTATAGCCCATTCTTTCAAAAATCTACTGCTACAAAGAAAAAACAGCCCTCCAGCATGTGTTTAAGCCCTTTCTAGAACAGACTACCCTTCTAGATGTATCTATTAACAATGATTAGAGAGAAAGAATAAAATAACAGCCCCAAACCAATGGCAGAAGACAAACCAAATTAAAATTTTATAAAATGTCCTTTTCAACTATGCCACATCACTCCCTCTCTCCTCTGCTCTTTCCACTTTTAACACTTTAGGTAGACCTTCCTTCCTTCAACTGCCCATAGTACTCAGTAATCCAATAGCCACCCCAGTGATTTCCAGGTTTCAGGAAAATGAAAACTGACTCTTCACACACACTCATTCACACACATACATAGTAGACTTCATGCAAAAGTTGACAAAGGAATCGATATCATGGTAGAAATCTATTAAGCTGTCTTTCTAAAATAAATCTTTCTATTTATTTTTTAAATAAATTTTTATTGAGGGAGAGAGAAATCGAGACATAAAAATATATTTTTATAGAGAGAGACATAAAAATATCAATGTGAGAGAGAAATATCAATCAGCTACCTCCTGCGTGCTCCGCAGTGGGGATCAAGCCTGCAACCCAGGCATGTGTCCTGACCAGGAATCAAACCAGGATCTCTCAGTCCATGGGACAATGCTCAATCCACTTGGCCACACTGGCCAGGCAATCCTTCTATATTTTAAATATCTTCTTCTCACTTTTCCCTCACTAAACATTTATTACACACATATCAGACACATATAAGTCTTTAGCCAGAAAAGTCAAGTCAAATATGGCTGGTAATATCATTAAATACGGAAAGTTGACTTACTTTCAATTCCCCTAGATGCAAAATCTTTTCCATGGGCCATGTGGTAGTAATGAGAATTATTTAATAAAGCCTAAAGGATATAAGACAAAATTACTAAATTTTCAAAAGCAGACTACATACAATCAAAAAGCACTTATGAAATGACAGCCTGTACATGGAATAGTACATAGGACTACACCAAGTCAATTTCTCTAATTAATCTAAGACAAACAATAATAACATAAAAAATATTTAACAAATAAGAATAAAAAACAAAACATCTTTACTTCTATAGAAGCAAAGACATTAAATACACATTTCAGGGTGGCAGGTGAAAAAGTCAGTCATGTTTACTAAATACATAAAGTAACTAAAAGAATTTACTACCTACTATCTGTTTCACTGGTAAAGAAAAGCTAAAGAGAAAAAAAAGGCTAGGTATTATGAGACAAGAAAACTATTTCAGGAATGTATAGCTGACTGGTAACAGCACTCTAAATTTTACAAAAGAAAAATATTTGTTTGTTTTTTATCACCCATGGGTTGTTTATTTTTCAATAACTGTTTTAGTCTAATATTCTAGTCTCAATCCAACTGGTGGCCAATGAAAAATGTACAAAAATGTATGCTTACCTTAGAAGGAATACAACCAACATTCAAACATGTTCCACCAAGTGTTTCATTTTTCTCAACACAAACTGTCTACAACCAAAGAAAACATTATTTAACTGCATATTAAGTTGCAGTGTTTCAGTCCAATAAAATTCCAAATATATTTCTTTTCCTTCTTCTACAAAAGAAGCTACTCAAGCTGAGTTTGTGAGCAAAAAATATACTACTTTATAACTTACCGTTTGAATACCAAACTCAAGCTAGTTAAGTGAATTATTCTAAGAGATATTTTTGTTTAAGATTACCAAATATATGCTTTTAGCTCTATTTCTATATCTTTCAAAGGGTGATTAGAAGCCAAAATGAAAAGTACTGGGGGAAGGGAAAAAATAATGGACTTCATTTTCCACCCCTTCATGAGAATACTCCAAACCTCTCTAGAACCCTCTCTTCATTAGTCTCAGGCTTAAATATAATCTATAGAATTAAGAAATTATTCACCATTATTATTACCAGCAAAGTATTTTGTGAATAAGATCAACTACTGCCAAATAAAAATGAATCAAAACCTAGTTTTAGTCTACCCCTTACCTTGAAGCCTAACTGGGCAGCTTTAATAGCAGCAACGTATCCTCCAGGACCAGAACCTACCACTGTTACATCGGCATCAACTACAATAAAAGCAAATTGATATAAAACAGTAAATTGCTTAATATTGACCAAAATCAGTACACTAAAAAAACAACAGCCTGATGTGTCCCTTTCACATCAATGTTTCTCTCTCTTTCTTCCTCTCCCTCTCTCCCATTCTATCTGAACAAAAAATGAAAAAATATCTTCGGGTGAAGATAAAAAAAAAAAAAAAGTTAGGAGAGTCTCCCTGCTCCACTATTCTTACAACTTCAATTACTGTAGCATTTAGCAGTTTTTAACATAGTTTTTCTTTTCTTTTTTTTTTTTTTAGTAGTTGTCAGGGGCTGAGGGGAGGAGAAAAATGGAGTGCTGTAATTTATTCATTTATTTATTTTTTCTTTTTTTCCTTTATTGATTTTAGAGAGAGAGGAAGTGAGAGGGAGAGACAGAAACATCAATGAGAGAGAACATCGATTGGCCACCTCCTGCATGGCCCCCTCTGGGGATCGGGCCCACAACCTGGGCATGTGTACTGACGGGAAATCGAACCTGAGACCTCTTGGTGCATGGGTGGACGCTCAATCACTGAGCCACATCGGCTGGACTTAACACATTTTGTTTTTAACATGCTAGTCTGATTCTCAGAACTTCCTTTGAGGAAGGTAAGAATGGCATATATCTAACATTTCACAGATAAGAAACACAAGGTTCAGAGAAGTAAATTAACTTGCCCAAGATCATCTAGCAAGCAAGCGACAGAGAGAAAATTAAGCTTTTTGTCTCTACTCCCAGTTGGTCTTTCCATTAGTCAATCCTATTCCTTTCCTCAGTTTCAACTATCATAACCTAAAATCCCCAACAGCAATAATCAACCTTTATAATTACTAGCTATCTGATCTTAGGTCAGTAATTTAACCTGTTTCACCTTCAGTTTCCTCATCTGCAAAATAAAGACCACAAAATATCTACCTCATATGGTCATAATACAGAACAGTGTATGTAAACAGCTTAGAATAGACCTGAAGATGTATAATAAGTATTCTCTATATGGCAGCTACATTCTGACCTACAAAGAAAGCAATTTTAATTTATCATCCCCTCGCCCACAAAGCATACAACTGAGGGGGTGGGACTGCTATTATCATTCAAAAAACCTTAGATGGCCTTGAACAGAATCAGAGAACCTGTGTTGTAAGATAACTAATTAGTTATGCAACCGAAAATCTAAGAATCCACAAAAATAATCCACAAAAATCTAAGAATCCTTTCTATTGAATAAATGAAAGTACTGATTCTCCTCCCTTCTATCAACGCTAATTAGGAGTACTCAATACCTGAACAAAACATAGCTAGTCCAATACATGAAAAAGTATAGCTTCAATTTTTACTGTTGCATTTGTGCTTTTTGGCCACACTGCTTGGTTCACTGATTCATGTTCAGAATTAAATACATAATAAAACATATTTCTATTTTCAAATCTTGAACCAAATTGTGGTAGGCAGTTAGAAAGACGTGCGCCGAGCAAGGACGATGGGCCAGGTATAGAAGGTCACCAGCGTGGAAAGCCCTGGGTGCCTAGCAAAGGACAAATGTAGGGTGGGATCTCATCCCCAGGGTAACTTTCCTCCCCTATTATATAGGTTGTCATGCGATTTGGACCTCTTGACCTTTCCTCCCTAGAGATGATAATCTAGGTGCCAGGTGTATTTCAGCTCCAAGCCCAGAAAATCAGCAAAACCGGACAGTCAACTACACAGAGGACCAGCTGCATTGAATAACGACCCCATGCCCTAGCGCCAGCCAATCAATCAGTGGAGACCCCAACCCTGAAAGGACATACCTGGAAAGCTGATGAACAATCTACTGAGATGTTCCCCTGGGCCCTCCCATGAATTCTCCACCTTTAAAACCCTTAGGATGAAGGACCCAGCAAACTCACCCTCCCAGGAGTACACCAGCGCCTTTCCTCTCCTCCTTCCCTCTTCTCCATCACCTTTACCTTTCTCACTTCTAAGCTCCCAGAGCCCTTCCTTTGCCTCTATAGTTTATTTCCTAAGCCCACTTCTTCCAGGAATTACTTCTTTTACCTCTGTGAGTTTATAAATAAATTTTTTCTTATTGTTTGAGTCTTGGCTCTGAATTCTTTCCTATCCAGAACTCAAGTACCAAGGTTGCTGAACCCAGGTACGGTCAAATACCTGGTGCCATTCCCACCGCTGCCAACAAAAATGATGACCTAATATCCCTTAATTTGGGTTCTGATTTTTAATTTCACAGTAATGTAAATAAATTCCTTTAGAATACCGCTAAAGCACTAGGAAACACAAAAATGAAGGGAAAATAGAAAAGCCTTTATCTAAAGATTTGTAAACTGAGAATAAAGGAGGATACGATCCAGTGACAAACTTTCAAAAATAAGCCAGTATTTAGGGGAAGTATACCAATGTCTGCAATTTACTTTGAAATGCACCAAAAAGGTAAGGTGGATAAATGGATAAATGAATGGGCACATGTGATAATGTATAGTAAAATGTTAATGGAAGAATCGATAAATGTCCACAGTAAAATTCTTATTTTTCTAATGTTTTCAGTTTTTCATAGTAAAATGTTTGAAAAGCAAACCAGGTAGCTCTCACCTGTACAAAAGATGCATGCAAGTGTTTACAATACATGACTCTGACTTACCATCTCCTTGTCAAGAACCATTTCTCAGTTTGGTTCCCATACACAGTTTTAAAAATCAAGACACAGAAAAGTAGTTAAGTGAAATACATTAAGGTATACTTGATGGAAATTTTTATAAAATTAGCATCAGCCTTCAAAGGTGAAAAGAAAAACTAAAAAGAATATACAAATTGGTAGCAGGACAGAAAGATGACTAAGTCAGCAAAAATGGCAAAAAATAGTTGGATAGTAATCTGTATTTCAAGTGGCAATGAAGTACCAGATGAAAGCTATCAAACTGATACTTTAAAAAATGGTACAATGAGACTTCCAATTAAGATGGCGGTATAGCCCTGGACAGTCTGGCTCAGTGATTAGAGCATTAGCCCGCAGATCAGAGAGACTCAAGTTCGGTTCCCACTAAGAACACGTACCTCAGTTGCAGTTTGTTCCCGGCCCTGGTTGGGGTTGTATGGGTGGCAACTGAAAGATGTGTCTCTCTCACGTGGATGTTTCTCTCTCTCTCTTCCTCCCTCTCTCCCTCCTTCTCTATTTGAGGATAAATGCAAAAATGTCCTCAGGTGAGGATAAAAAAATAAAATAAAAAGATGGCGGCATAGGTAAACACGGTACTCGCCTCTTCCCACAACCACATCAAAATTACAACTAAACTACAAAACAACCATCATTCAGAACTACCTGAAATCGAGCTGAATGGAAGTCCTACAATAAAGAATACTAAAGAAGCTATATTAAGACTGGTAAGAGGGGTGGATGCATGGAAGGGCAGGTCCCACACCCATGAGTAGCAGATACAAATCAGGAGGGATGTCTCATTGTGAAGGTCCTCCCCAAGAAGCAAGGGGTCCCAGTCCCACACGAGGTGCCCCAGCTCAGGGTTCCAGTGCCAGGAAGAGAAGTCCCCATAACTTCTGGCTGTAATAACCAGTGGGAATTGAGGCTGAGTGAGGCTGAAGCTGCTGAAGTCCCAGGCAGTTCCTCCGAAAAAGCCCACACACGGACTTACTTAGACTCACTCCTTCTAGGTTCAGTCATGGGAGAGGCAGCTTGAAAGGCACCAGAGACATATGGGGAAGAACCAAGTTGTTTGGCATCTGGACGAGAGGTGGAGAGGCAGTTTTCTCCTAGACAGACATGCTGGCTGAGGCCTTTGTTCCTTTGGTAAGCTCTTTTCCAACAGGGCAGGCAGATAGGCACCATATCTGGGACTCCAGCAACCTGGCTCACACTGTTTGCCTGCCCTGGTGATTCCCTGAGGCCATTCTCCATGGAACCTTTCAGGCCCACCCAAGCTGTTTCCAATGGCTTTACCTTAGGAATGGCCTGTCTGGGCTCATGTTTCGGATTTCCCTAAAATCTCTCAAACAAGCAGCATCTGGCCTTAGTGAGCCCCACACCTCTAGCTAAATGGCCCCAGGACCAGCATGAGCAGCAGCTGGCCTTGGTTCACAGATAGGCCTTGCCTGAGCACCACCAAGCCCAGCACAAGAATCACCCATTTGCAGGTAGTTTTGTAGCTTATGCCTAGTGGCCACTGGTAGAACACAGGCAGCGGCTGACCTTGGCCTGCACCTCCCAGAAGGCCCCAAAGCCAGCACACCCAGTGGACAGCATCCATGCCAAAGTACCGCCACCCAACCACCTCCACAAGCAACACACTCAAGGAGTGGATTTAGTGGGTACCAGAGCCCTGCTGAAGTTAAGTCTTGCTCTGTGTGGTGAGCCCCTGCATAGCTAATCCTCCAAGGTAGTCAGAGGTTGGTGGTCAGTGGTCATAGCCAGTCCTTACAACTGATCAGCCTGAGTAAATCCCTCCCATTGATGTGCTAACAGAAGTCCAGATGCAATTACAACAGAAGGGTGTACAGTCCATATGTGGAGCACATCTCGAGTGCCCAACTCAGTGATCAGGGAGGCTGTGCCACTGGACCCTATAGGACACCTACTACAACAGGCCACTCTACCAAGCTTAAGAGACAGCAGCTCTACCTAATACAAAGAAACAAACACAGGGAGGCAGCCAAAATGAGGACACAAAGAAACATGTAGCAAATGAAAGAACAGAACAAAACTCCAGGAAAAAAAACTAAATACAATGGACATAAACAATCTAACAGATGCAAAGTTCAAAACACTAGTTATAAGGATGCTCAAGGAACTTAGTGAGGATCTCAAGATAAAAATAAGGACCAGTCAGAAATGAAGGATGCACTAACTGAAATAAAGAATAATTTACAGGGAATCAATGATACAGTAGGTGAAGCCAAGAATCAAACCATCAATTTGGAATGTAAGAAAGCAAAAAAAACAACAAAAAAACACCCAATCAAAACAGCAGAAATAAAAAGATTC